GTTCTTCTGGAGACACCGCTCCAAGTCACTGAACAAAGAGTGCATTTGACTGAAAACTGGCACTAAGAACGAGACAAAATAGAAACATATTTATCTTTGTGTGTTTTTTTTCCTTAGGCCAGGTTTTATGCACCAACAACCATTTTTATAGATGAGATCGACTCCATCTGTGGCAGACGAGGAACATCTGATGAACATGAAGCCAGTCGGCGAGTTAAATCAGAACTTCTAGTTCAGATGGATGGTGAGTAGAAATGGTGACAAAGATGAGAGGCTATAAAGAGGATGTTCATTGATATGAAGTAGAAATTATGTCGCAAGGCATAGTGTCTGAATTGTTTTGTTCTGATAGGTGTTGGGGGAGCAGCCGAGAACGACGACCCTTCTAAGATGGTGATGGTCCTCGCTGCAACAAACTTCCCATGGGACATTGATGAGGCGTTAAGACGCCGCTTGGAGAAGCGCATCTACATCCCCTTACCAACAGGTAACAACTGCCACAGATTAACGACTGATAAAAAACTGTCACGATATATATACATATATAAATAAATAAAAATCCAATTGTATTTGGCTTAGTTAATTGATATTATCTCTGTGTCTGTGTGTGTAGCTGTGGGCCGTGCGGAGCTGCTTAAGATAAACCTGAAGGAGGTGGAGTTGGCTGCTGATGTGGACATGGAAGTGATAGCTGAGAAGACTGAGGGCTACTCTGGAGCAGACATCACCAACGTCTGCAGGTAACCACAACTTTTTTTCATGATTAAATAGCAAATGTGTAAGGTCAAGTGTGAGAAACAAGTTGAACTGGTCTCAATAAAACAGTGTACTTAACTAAATTAATACTAGAGTTCTGACTGTCTGGGAGTTTATTAAGGATTTAAGATTATAAACCAGAGACGGTGCTGCTGTGTCTGGGTTAGGAGACAAAACCAAGCTCTGAATTGCCTGGCAACAGCAGTCAGGATAACCCTTACCAATGGCATCCCTTTACAACACTTGCCTTTACGACTTGAATGACTCGATTTTTAAAATTAAGTTTAGTAGAACAGTTGAGTAAATTTTAGGTTCAGGTTAAACAATCGAGCCATATGAAATTATTGTTTTAAAACTGCACAATAATACAAATTAAAAATGTAAATGAGTCATAGTAGTAGATGATGTAAATGTTAGTTGAAAATTTTAGTGTGACAAAAATATAATTCAAAGTGAAGCAAATTGAGTAAATATATTTTAATAAATATAAATAAATAAAAAGTTAACATTTTATTTTAGATTTAAAGAGCAATTAAGTAAACAGTTTTAAAAGGTGGTATTTTGACCTTAAAACACTCTATGGAGTTGAAGGGTAGCAGTCATATGATGACCAATGAGGCAGAAATTATGATAGAATAAAACAAAGTTGTCTGTTATTATTTCCTACAATTTAGTTTTGTGACTGATTTCCAAAGATTTAGTTATATTTCATGGCTAATATCACACTCTCCCATTTCCTTTAGTTTTTCCTGTTACTTAAGACCTGGGGTTTAAGAATACTTGTACATTAGCATCTTGAACATATCTTTAGTAACAGTCATCTATTTTCTGGTCCTTCCTTCCTCTTGTCTTGCATGTACATGCAGAGATGCATCCATGATGGCGATGCGTCATCGAATCCACGGCCTGGGCCTGGAGGAGATCCAAGCTCTGTCTAAAGATGAGCTGCAGATGCCTGTGACAATGGAAGACTTTACTACAGCACTCAAAAAGATCTCAAAGTCCGTCTCCGCTGCTGACCTAGAGAAGTATGAAGCCTGGATGACGGAGTTTGGATCAGTATAGAAAAACGGCACAGCGATACTACGCATTGGGAGAATGATCTCATATTGGTACTGTGTTCAGTAATTGAACTAATTTAGTAATTTCCTAATTAACTACTTGAACTTTTATTAAATTTGTATTCGTTTTTAACTTGTATTTCAAACAGTGAACAACATCCAATAATGAGTATATTTGTTTTCTGTTGTCTTTTCTCTGTGTTACTTTGAGATTTTCTAAGATGCACTTTCTTGTAAATACAAATAAATACATTGTGACTAAGTTAAGCTGCTCCATCTCATGGTGTATAGTCCACCCAATTTTCCTAACATCTAAGGTGCTGTTTTTGTCAGGTTTGCCATCCTCTGACCCCCTGATGTCTTACCTGAAAGTTTTATGTTTTGTTATAGGAGACCAAAAATGAATTATTTGACAGAGATTTAAAGAATACGCAACCAAATTTGTTTAAGGTATAATGGAAGTTCAAACAAACAAATAAGAAGCCTTTTTTGTTTTGAAGTAATTTTACAAAAGTGAATGTCCCACAACAGAACATGCTGTCCTATGAAGTGTTTTATGTATTTTGATGTTTCTTGTCCACTAATAAAACGAATAATGAAAGAACCAACCTGTCCACCATTGTTTTATTTTTATGTGATGGTTAGAACTTATTTTAACCACCCAACAAAGAAAATAGGTGTCTCTAGTTCAGTAACAAAAATCCAACTGATTATTCGTGCCTGATTATTACCTGGGAAATATATTAGTCAAAAATATTGACAAGTGGTAACAGTTAAATACAGCTTAAATATAGACCCAAATGTTGTTACAAATAGGAGAAAAAGAAAAGGTAAACTTGTTTAAACTGCCCTTTAAGTTAATAAACTAAAACACATCTATCAGAGCTAATAAGGCCATAACTGTATTATATTTAGTATGTGTAGTGATATAGAGCCGTTATAAACGCAGTTTATAGTGGTAACGGAGGGTCTGCCCTCGGTTGTGCTGCTACAGTGACGCCGTGTGGCTGCATCAGTGCGAAGCTGCAACCACACACACGCCTCATTTTCCCATAGCCGCTTCTGGTGCTGCTGTTGTACTGATCACTGTGGGTCCACACACACGCGTTTACTCACACGGTCCACGATGGAGACCAAACCGGTCATCACCTGCCTGAAAACCTTGCTTATCGTCTACTCCTTCGTCTTCTGGGTGAGCTATCGTTGTATCTGTAGTTTATCCGCAGAAAATGGTCGCAGTCCATTTAAAATGCGTGGTGATGAAGAAGCTGAAGGAGAAGAAGGGCTTGAACGGAGGCAGCATCACATCGACTTGTTTAACCATCATCGTGTTGTTCCTTTAACTGCTCCCGGATTGTGACACGACCGTTATTTATGGTTTTAGGCGTTTATTTAAACGATGTTCCCTTGTGTAAGCGCTGCTCAGGTTTCATATACAGGACGTGTTTTTGGCTATGGTTTTGGCTGCTGCTGGGCGTCAGTGGTGTCTGTGAATTGCACACATAGCATCATGGTTCCTAGTCAGTAAGCTGTTCTTGTGTTCGTGCTGGGTGTTTATCCCAGCGAGCAGATCTGGGTTGGACTGGTTCTACAGGCCCGTTTTCTCACCACATCCTTTCTAAACGTTCGTTTTTGAATCCTTAATGTAGCCGGCAGCAGGGGCGCGCAGAGACATTTTGGGGGTGCAGGTACTATGTGACTTGGAAAGGCGCCCTCTTATCTAAAAAGATTTACACATAGCTGTATCGTATTCTAAATTAGTATATGAATTATTAAAGAGACAAATGGTCCAGCACAACCAGAGTTGAAGTGAAAAGCTCACTATGAAACAAAAAAAGAAACAAAATTGCAGGATGTGCTCCAGAGCAGAGGGGGAAAAGACATTTTGTTGGTCTTTTAAAAGTTTTAATCACATATGAGGATTATATAACACCAGTATATAAGAAATTATATAAGAAAAGAAATTTAACTGGTTTACAGAATTATTTCTAGTTTTGCTAATAGATAATGTTGTTTTTTTTATTTTTTTAAATATGTAACCTTTCTACACACTGGAACACAAAATGGGAAAAATATGACTAGTAAATGGCTGGATTTGGTAATATTGGCACACATATTGTGAATGTTGCAAAAATATTGAATTAGAAACTTTTCATGTGCATTTAGGTTTTTCCTAATTTGTTTTTTCATGTTTCATTGTTGACTTTAATATTAAAATATTCAATTCTTTGTTGGACATCTTTAAAGAGGCTCTTCTGATAAGGAAAAGGAAAATCATACTCACACATGGGAGGTAATGGTCCAGATAATTGGGCCCATTAAACTTAATAAATGAGGAGAAATGATTATTTATTGGCACCAGTAGTGGGCGGTGTTATAATAACGTATCCTCCAGTTAAAGGTCAGTGATGTAATACTTGACTTTCTTAGGATTTTGGCAGTGCGTTAAAATCAATACAACACCTATCTGTAGGGAAGCACTTTGTGCACCTTCTTCCATACATGTTTTTGATTAACATCAACGTTGCTTTCACCACTTGCAAATCAGCATCGTCCAATCAAGAGATTTACACTTGAAATTACTTCAGTAAATGAGTGAGCAGAAATGTGGGCTGTCGTGGTTTGCTGTTGCTTTAACTTCTGAGTCTGCAGGCGAGCTGATAACCAAACCTCCAGCTGAGTGAGTTCAGTGAGTTCTGTTTCCCATCATTTGTGTCCACGGTTGTGGATTGTATGGTCCAGGATTGTTGGTGTCTGATAGCAGCCATAATAGCCAGTAGTGGATTATCAAATAAAAACACGTGGAAGATGTCTGTCTGTCTGTAGGACCAAAGAGTGCTGTCTCTGCTCCTACTGTTTTTACCTCTAACCATGAGAAGCTTTTTTTATTTTTGCTTTAATCCTGATGCTCAGTAAAGAAACAGGAGCAGCCATTTAATTAAAAACAGCCAAAAACAAAGCAGCCAGAATCAATAATATAAAAATACCCAGGAGCCAACTGTTCCTTCTTTGATACTTAAGACTATTATTAATTCTCACACTAATGCATTGCATTCACCATTTTTTTTGTCCAGCTAATACTCAAATATGAAATAGTCCAATACTGTACAAACTGTTCTCTCCAGTTTTTTTTACACATTTACAAATCTAGATCTTTGCAATCTAGATACGAGCGGATCGACACACGAGTGCTGTTGTGCAACGGATTAAACTCGTATCTCGGGGCCCCACTGTATTTAAAATAAAATCAAAGCAAAACTGTTCCATAAAAGATCAAACCTCACTTCATTGGCTGCCTGGTCAGGTTTTGAACATGACTGATTTGAAAGGCTTAGCAGCAGGCATGAAAGTTCCAAATGTTTTTGAAGCTTCATTGAAGGTTTGAGAGGTTTGGGAGCAGTCATGGAGGCCTTGAAAGGTTTGGGATCCTCACAGAGGTTTAAAAGAAGAACTGTGCTGCGTTTCCTTCTGTCATGTGCCAATGTCATAGATACAAACGTCTATATTTAGTTGGGACCGTGTGGTCGTCTGGGCCTCCTTCACGTCTGCTGCATCAGGTTTCAGAAGTCTGAAGTTCACAAGTGTCTCACGGTTCTGTCTCTATCTTCAACCTTGAGAGTGAAGCATGTGGACTGAACTGACACTGAGTTCCCTGTGTGTCACCAGCGCCAGATCCCTGTGTCACTGTCATCTCCGTGTCATGACAAATAAAGTCTCTGATGTGAATAAACCTGGACAGTGAACTACAGGGCAGGTGGTGGAGTAAGTGCGGTGCACATGCCAGAATATTTTGTCTTCACACCTCCTGTTTCTTTATTAAGCTGAACAGAGCGGGAGGAGGAAAAGGAGGCGGGAGGAGTGACCTGTTTTAAACCTAGTGCTGTAACCAGGGTGGCTGGGCCAGGCTTTGAATTTCAAACAAAACGTAAAGATCAGGAGGGGGCCTGTTTGGAATTCAGCAGCAGGCCTGAAGTCGAGATGCCTTGCCCCTGCTTCCTGAAGTCTGATTTCCCCCGCTGTCTGTAAAATGGACACTTAAGCATTGAAAATGACTGAGTTGATCTTTTACCCGTACGTGGACGCAGCTGTTAGGGAGAAGGGACATTTTGTCGCGGGTGGCGAGAGCCATAAACAGCAACTGCATTGTCATCAAGAGGCACGTTGTCTAAAATGACAGTCTGCTCAGGCTGTTAGTATTCCTGTTAATAGAAACAGGAGATGTCATTGCTGACGAAGTCAAACCAACAGCCTCAGGTCGTTAGGTTCAGCTGGGCAGAGAAAGTACTTCACTTTAGAAACACACATCAGTTAATCGTCATTAGTACTAAATCAATTCACAGAAAATGGTGAAGTTTTTAGTGCCAGGTGCAGGAGTGAGGACAAATAATATATATATATATATATATATTAAACCAAGTATCTGTTAAATGTTCTAAATATCTCTGTATAATCTGTTAATTGCACAGTACAAGTACAAAACATTTTTACAAATGTTGTCCTAAGCTTTTTGTCCAGAACTTGGTGGAGGTTGTATTTTTTTGCTGTTTAAAAAAGGGGTCAACAGAGCGTGTGATCTGCAGTGGAAACTTGAATGGTTGCAGGAAAACCTGATTTGAAACGGGGTTTTTTTTTCAAGCCTTTAACATGCATAATTAATCATATAGCACAAGGAAAAACCTAAATGTTAGCCCTAGTATCTAAATGTAGCAAAAAACAGCAAAAATATCTAAACATCAGCCAAACACATGTTGACATTATATGTATTTGTATTACATAAGGAAATTTGACGTTGTTGTAAGTAAAGGTTAGGGAACAAATCCACACCATCTACATCTTTTGAGAAGGTTCACAAAGTTATTTCTATGGGAACAAAAACAAAACCTTGGAAAAGTCCAACAGGACTTTGCCAAGGCAGCTAACCAATGCCTTATAAATAATGACCTAAGTAAAGTTACTTGCAACCGTAGAAAAACATTTATAACAAGAAGCATCACAGAGAAAATGCTCAAATCTGATAAGAAAGTAAATCAGGACTGGACCAAAGATCTGCCTCACAGAGATCAACGTCTAATAAAACGTCTGCATTCAGTCACTGTCAGTGTTTGAGAGAAAAGATGTTTTGAACCAAAGTTAAAGCACAGGGAAAGCTCTGAAAAAGTTTGGGGCTGCATTTAATCCTGTTCAATGATTGGACCCCCCTTTACTATTTCAACATTTTAAAGGGAAGCCTATTAGTATTGGCTGAGATCTCTTGTTATTGAACGATTGAATGATGTGTGTTTAGTATTGAATTTTTGAACTGGGACTAGTATATATTTTGTCAAAAGGGAAGTTGTGTGTCTTTGGATCGGCCTTTCTATTCTACTGTACAGTACAGTAAACCTGGAGGAGGAGCCTGGAGGCTGTTGATCTGATTAAAGTATTGTCTGATAATCACTGGCTGGAATTACGCTGCCAATAGGGCAAAGTGTAAATGTAGTTAACACAATCATTAACCTGTAAACGCTGCTGTAGACAGTCAGAGAAGTGAAACAGCAGATGTAACCTTTTCAACACCACTTTCTCTAATTGCTACTTGAAACTCTGCTGGTATTTCCGTCCCGGTGGCTCATTTTTGAGCTAAAACTTCTCTCCTCTCAGTTTGAGGTTTTGCAGGAGTGCACATACATTTTGTGCTGACTGCCTCCTTTCCGTTCAGAAGGCCTGGCAGCAGGAAGGCGGTCGAGCAGGGAACGAAGCAGGTTAGGATGATGACTTGGCCTCGGCTACAGTCAGATCATCAACAGCCGCTCCACTCTCCGCTCCCTCACTTTCCAATGCCAGTAAAGCATACCCAGCTGAGCCCCACGCTGCTTCAGCTGCCTCGTACAGCACGCTCTTTTATCCACGGCCTTCATTTGAAATGCAAAGAGAGGAGCAACAGGAGGAAGCGTCTCGCCTCGGATCAAAGAGCTCCTTTGATTTGCCCTTTTTTCTTTTGGTCTCTCGTCTTCCCGTGCTTGTGCAAGCGCAGGCATATTCATAAAGCAGGTGATCCCTATCCTGTACTCCAGATAAATTTGTCTCCCATCTTCACTCTCCTCCTCCTTACACTCTAATTGCTCCTCGTTTTTTGTTCCACCTTGATCCTCCTCCTCCTCCACCTTTGACGTGCTGCCAAAAACACAGCTATTGTAATATGGTAGAAGATAAAGTGCCTGTTCTGTTCTTTTCATTTTCTTTGTTCCTCACCTTGCAGATAACAGGAGCCATCCTGCTGGCAGTGGGAGTATGGGGGAAGTTGATGCTGGGCCCGTACATCTCTCTGATAGCAGACAACTCCACCAACGCCCCGTATGTCCTCATTGGCACCGGGACCGTCATCATCGTTTTTGGCCTCTTTGGATGCTTCGCCACCTGCAGAGGGAGCCCATGGATGCTGAAGCTGGTGAGAGGTTTTCTATGGTGTGGCAGAAAAGACAGATTATCATCATTTAGTCCAAAAAGTTTTAAAAGAATATTGCGTTATGTGTAACTCAACCTGTGAAGAGTCAGTGACAAGTCAACACATATAGACAATAATAATGATGTAATATAGGATCGATTAATTTTGCATTTTAATTATTTCCCTCACTGACCAGCGACCAGTATCAGTCTGTGCACCAGGGGTTGGTGACCCGCACATTAAATTATGCAAATCTTTTGTAAATGTGTCTGTTTGACCAGCGTGATTGTTTTAGTTTTCCTCTTGCTGTTCATCCAAGGCAGCGGGTCCTCATGCAAACTATGTTAATCTCCTTCTATCTTCCTCTTTTTTTATAGTATGCCATGTTCTTGTCACTGGTCTCCCTGGCTGAGCTGGTGGCTGGCATCTCTGGATTTGTGTTTCGCCATGAGGTCAGAATGTAGCTTAACTAAACCAACCTTACAGTAAACAGTGGATTCAAAGGTGGGGGGGCGTGCTCATCCAGGGGAGGCTCAGAGCTATTAGAAAGAGGACACAAGGCAAATTAAATCTCTTTATTTGAACCACTAGGGGAAAGTAGCACCAATTTGTAATTTTATTTTCTGTATTTAATGAACGCTCCACACCAGACTCCACAAGAGGAGTGTGGTGCAGCAGGAACTGTTTGGTATTGCAATAAAGGAGCATCCATAATTTGGCTTAATGCTGCTACTGTGATTATGCTTCAATTTCAACAGCCCTAAAATATAGGTTTGGGAGCAGCTTGTTTACATTTGAAAAAACAGTGTGGCTGAAGCTGCTGGTTTAACACAAGACCAATGAGAGTTTGTTTTTTGTATTGATGACCTTTGTTTGCTGATTACAGATAAAGGGAACCTTTCACAGAACGTACACTGACGCCGTCCTCAACTACAACGCTGAGGACGAGGCCAGTCGTGCTGTGGACAATTTGCAGCACAGGGTGAGTGTTTGTCACTGGTGGTCAGTGCACTCATAAAAACGAATATGACCAGAACGTGCTCTCAGAATGTGCTCTCAGCCGCAGTGTCGGATTAGGAAGTTATGGAATCACCCTATGAAACTTGAGAATTCTAGCACTTTTTAAAGAACTTGGTTTGAAAAAAAAAACACCGACTCCAACTGTGCACTAAATATACTGAAGAGTGGACATGACTTAGCTAATATGCCGCTGCTTCTTGTTATTTAAAAATGACACTTGTTTTTTTTTTTCTTCTTTGACCTAAAGTAACTTTGAGCAGCTGACCTGACCACTACAGTCTGTCATCCACACACATTATGTAATACTGTCCCCTGTTTTTAAGCAATCACTTGGTGCTGGTATTCCAAAGTCCAGGAGACACGAGGCTGTGACACGGTATTGTTTGGATTTCAAGCTCTTTGGCACGAGAAATTGGAGCCCCAAAAAGAGTTTGACAGTAAACAAACAGAGAGACGAAGGGAGGTTTAAAATACTTATTGGATGTCAGAGCAGTGTAGTAAACAGGAGACGGTTTCTGAGTGAAGAGGGAGAGAAGTCTGGTTCCCTCAGAGCTGCACACAGAGGAGCGAGGCAGGGGTCAGGTTTCAGATCAGCACGGACATATCAGCACGCGACTCATTCCTGCACAGGCTTCATCCAGACAAAGAACAGGACATGGCTGAGCAGACAGGCAGATAGATGAGGTGCCTCGGGGTCAAGTAGACAAGTATTAGAGCCAACAGTGTCAAAGAACATGATGGATGTCATCAAAAGGTTTGTTGTTTTTAGGTTTTAGCACTCCCCAGTGTGGTTGTCGTTGGACTGTTTATACACAGTACTATATGATGTGGTCAAAAATATGTAACATATCTACGTTTCTTCTTAAAGGGCTAGTAATAGTAAAGTCAAACAGCCCATTAATTATATTTTTTAAAATACTAGTCCACATTAAAAAAAATAGATGTAAAGATGTCAAAGTTTCATAAAAAACATAGCTGGCTTTACCAGATAGCAACCAAACATTAGCATTAGCACAAGTCAGAAGTAGCTGTAATTTGTCCACTTTGAACTCTAACTTAGTCAACTTTGGTTAACTCCAAATAGCTAAAAGTCTAATTAAATAATGTAAAAAATATGACTGAACTGTTAAAAAGAACCTTAAGAATTATTTTTTTCATTTCCTTACTTGTCTCTGGTTGTAGCTGCGTTGCTGCGGTGTGTATAACTACACCAGCTGGTTGGCCAGTGTTTACTACCCGTCCAATGGGATCCCTGCCAGCTGCTGCGTTAACTCCTCAGACTGCAACATGGACGATCTCCGCAATGCAACTCTAGCCCCCACCAAGGTCTATCACCAGGTGAGTGTGGTGTTGTAACTTTTTATATTCAGAAATGCTCCAGTTCATGGTATATCACAGTCTGACTGGTCCTCACACCCCTGCCCCCTCTTCATAATACCTCAGATACTCTCCTACATACCCTTAGTGCCCCTGGTCTGTTCATTCAATAACGTGTCCCTGATCCCTCTGCAAACTAACCTGCCCCCTGTGTTTCAGGGCTGTTATGAGCTGGTCACTTCATTCATGGAGACCAACATGGCCATCATTGCAGGAGTGACGTTTGGAATTGCCTTCTCACAGGTGAGAGTTTTTATATATATATGTATATATATATATATATATATATATATAAAAGTCTTTGTCTGTAGTCCACGGGATTTTTTTACTATGTAAAGTGAATATCTGTTTTTTTCACTGTCTATCTTGCAGCTGATTGGCATGTTGCTGGCCTGCTGTCTGTCCAGGATCATCACAGCCAATCAGTATGAGATGGTTTAGCTGAAGTGATTTGGCAGGTGAGACGCTAACGAGGTGCATACAACCACAGAAATATCTACATCGAAGCCAAGAGGATCATATATGTTCATTAAATTGAATATTAATTTTAATAATGCACACACACTACCTAAAATTAATCATGATTAATCCTGATTAATCTGGTTTAAAATCCTGTCCTAAATATGAAAACAAAAATCTTATATCTGTATTTTACACAAAGACAATTGGCAGCAGGTAGATGTATGTGTTTCACATCTGTTATTATTTGTGACTAATTCAAATGATGAAATTATTAAAATGGAAAAATGTCATAAAAAAAACATGCAAGCAACAGAACAACAATAATCATTACTAGAAACTGATGTTTGGTGAAAGTTAATGCTTTTTTGCCTGTGCATGAAAATCAATTTGGCCTTGTCCCTTAGCAACAGTATAGACCATAACCTTATCTCTGAGTAACTACTAGTAATTACTAAACGGAATAAAACTGAAGTCAGGTTTTAAAGGATTTTTTTTTCTCAATTTTTTTAGGGAGATGAAGAGAAGAAGCAACAGAAACTGCACATGTCACGAGAAATTCCTGAAACACTGTCACACATCTGAATGTGGAGTGAGCTCCCTCGTCTCTCTGCCTGTGCTCTTATTGTAATATCTCAATGTATCTTATTGTAAAGCACCATTCCTTAACTCACTGCTGTTGCATCACAAAGCTTTCAGAGCCACCACACATCAATCCATCGCTGCTGTTGCTGCTGCTTAATGTAGACGTTGCACATTAGCCCATATGTTGGATCAGTGCAGTCTGCAGCAGTCTGGTAGACCAGAGTTGTCTGATTGGACGACGGTGTTGGTCTTTGAGAGGCTACTGCATATATTTGTACATAGTGACTTAAGCTTAAAGCTAAAGTAACACTTTAATAGATAGGTTTTTAGTTGGGGTTTTTTTTATTTTACTTTGCTATTGCTCAGCATTGTTCATGTATATTCTTATGGTTGTGACATATTGTGGCCATGATTATATTTAGGAACATGATGAGAGAAGACAGGATGGGTAGAGCTACTGAAGGGAGATTTTTTTAAACTGTAGACACTGTAAAATATGTTTAACATAGTTTTAATATAATTTAACAACAGATTGTATTGTAGATTATTTGTTTCATTGCAAAATTAAAATTAGTATTATCAAATACTCACAGCACAATTGCACTAACCATCAAATGTGAACACGTGCTGTAACTGTGACTTAGAATTATCTACAGTTTTACTTGAACTCATCACTTTTTATTACACTTTAATAATATGAATTAATCTTTCTGGCAATTACTTAGTCTCACGAGGAATACAATTAAACATAATAACCTTTAAAAAAAGTTGTCACACTAATATGGACCTAAAAACATGTATACAGTGGCATGGATCCTCTGCCCCATGTTTTTTATGATTTTAAAAAACTACGTAGTATTAAAAAACATAAAAAATATATTTTTACATCCTGTTTTGAATAAAACTTAATGGGACTCTACACAGTTATATAAACTGTATTTGGTTTGCATGTTCTTTCCATATATTCTGGTCTCCACAAACACACAAGATTAGGTTAATTGTTCACACTTAATTGGTCACATGTGTGAATGTGAGTGTGAATGGATGTTAATCCAGTGATGACCTAGTTAGCTGTCCAGGATGTTCCCCTGTCCTTGCCCAATGACTGGCTCCAACTCCAACACCATCCTGATCAGGCAGAAGATATAGCGACATTTACAGTAACTTCACCACTACAGGGTGCTAAATCCCACACACTGTACCTTTAAGTATTATAAATGGAATGCATAAGGAACTGACATGCAGGACTGCACTAGTGTCGATGTAGTATTTACAGTATTCTGCTTCCATCATGCCTCCACCTTAACCATCACTAACATCATCATCTGTAGATATGTACGGGAAATGTAATTTGTATAATGAACTGTTCCTCATTCTAATGTGTTACTACTGTCAGTAAATGTGCTGTTAAACAGTTCTGATTCCACACTCTGTGCTGTTAACCTGTATTCGTTTGATAGTCTGCACTGGATTAAGTAGTCGTGTCAGTAACTGTTTTTAATTCAGCAGTATGTTTATTATGATTTAGGTTGGAATTATATTTACTGGTCTAATAAGTTGGGTTTTTTAAATTCTCTTTGTTTGGCTGTGTTTATATTGATTGCATGGTTTAGACATGGTTTGAAAAATATCAATCCTGGATTATCAGATCACAAGTGGACAGCATAGGGCTGGAGTGAAAGAAGATCAAGCAGGGAGTTGGGATTAAAAATATTCGTTGCATATCTTGTCCCACAAGAACCATCACAGGCCTGGAGTGAAGACGTGCTAAAGTCAGTCTAATAGCTAATGCAGTATTTGAGCCTCTGGTTGACACGTGTTGCTTCACATGAAGTATTTCTCTATAACATGTGAAAACTGACAAAAACAAATGACATTTCTTTATATTTTATATTGACATAACAGTTAAAAGCTGAAGCTGTCCATTTGTGACCAGATAATTAAAGCCTTTAGGACTCTGTGAAAACTCTTATGGTCAGTATTTGGTTGTGGCATTTTAAATATATATATATTGTTGCTTTTGCAGCTGTGAATTATTATGTTATTTCCTTCTTCAATCTGAATACTAAAACATGTTTTTCTTCTAGCTTTACTGTAAATACTAAATTGTAATACCATTAAGCGTACACATGGGGTCAGTAGAGACTCGAGGATTGCACCATGCTGTCTACTAATGACTAAGTCACTATCGGTGGTCTTATTATCAATAAACGTACAAATAACAAGTGCCTTTGGAGTGTTTTTGTTTTGATTTCGTTCTTCTTTCATACATACATATGTTTGTTTTACGTTAATGCTTCTTGTTGTTCCATTAAGGTTAATTAGAAACATAATTTAAATCTGGTGTGAAGATAAGTATGACTGTGGATGTGTGATCAACATTACTACTTTACCATGATGAACTTATCAGCAGGCATAACCAGAATTAAAGTATCAGCATGATTATATTTACGTTTGGTTTTGGTTGGTGTACATGTATACATCAGCCGTGCATTTCACACTTAGGCCTTCAGTGATGCCCTACCTGCCGAAATTGTATACAGAAACACACTATAAGCACTACCTCAATTGTGTACAAAACGGGCTATTTTCTGACGCATTAAAAAAAACAAAAAAACCCGAAAGTAAAAAAAAAAATGTTTATACTCACCAAAACAGCTGTCCTCCAAAACACTTATTTTAACACAAAATCCATTCTCCTTTCTTTCCTCAAGAAGACCTCAATGACTTGGTTGTACAGTTTATCTGTACGCTTCAGTTACAACAATAAATCCCTTTCGCGCCTGTTCGTTGAGCTGTGCATCCACTCGGGTGTCCCCAAAAGTTTTTAGAAGAACCGAAGCTTGCAAGTGTCCAGTCGTGCTTTGGTGTCTCATTGCTGCCTTAGTTAAGCAATTTAAGTTCGCAAATCCACGTTTTGCCCTCCTTGGGCCATTGTGGAATTTAAAAAGCGAGTAGATATTAGATTTCTCTCTCTGCTAATCGGTTAATCTCCGTTGAACTTACTTGTTGTTGTTTTACGGCGGGAAGCGAGTATCCAATCACAGGACGTATACATTTAACGTTCAACGTGAGGCCAGCTAGAAGGCCTACTGTCAACAACTCGTGATCTGATTGGCAAGAGCAACTGTCGCTAGCTGAATTCTGATTGGATAAATCGGATTGCTTACATTGCACAGACGTCCGCATTGTTGAGTCTGAGGCAGATTTCATACAGCCTGGCAACAGCTAGCTGAATTCTGATTGGATAAAAACTCTAACCTAAAAACAATAACACTGGAAGGAGCCTAATATGACAAGAAGAGAACATGAAGTATGTTTTATGTATTTCGGAAAAGTAAATTAAAAATTAATGAACCTTTATCAACTTATGATCATAATTTATGTTAGGTCAGCAGAGAAAGCCTTGCTGGCCCTGACGGCCCACCACGGTGCTACACTATCTATTCTACACTATTTAAATCATGAATTTAAGCATGTTAGGCCATTTTATTTACTATATTTAACTTTAACTTTAGTCAAACAATCAATTATCATACTGATTGGTCTATATAATCCTAACTAGTTTAAAAACTACAAAAAAGTCTAAAGTTTCTCATTGTTAAACTAAAGTTAATGTTTGGCTTCCTATTAACCTTTAACGTTTTAAATGCGCACTTCTAACATTGCGGCTACGTAGTGTCTGACTTTGGAATGGATTCCATTACGTGACCGTTCAAACGGAATGATTTCCCCTAAATTAAATAAAAAAGATACACGGTAGAATATAATGTAATTCATGTATTAAATAATCAAATATTCCTTATATTAAAAAAACCCCACAACTTTAATCCGTCAAATGGATTTCATATATTTGTTGATGTTGTCTATACCACTGTTATCCACATGATGGCGCTTGGATATCAGCGCAAAACGGAACTTAAGAGACGCGAGGAAATGGAGGCTCCGTGTCTCGGATGTGGCGTGACACGCAAACGCACTCGTTTTCACTGCTGTTTTGGGGAAGGGGGTGGCTCTGTATTTGATTATTCCACTTGTAAACGCGAAACACTAGTTAAAACCAAACATTAACTTAATTGAAATTACTGTTTGTCCAGTTAATCAGACTTAAACCTGAGGCTGAAGAATTAGAGGTCTCTCCTCATATTCACAAGGGTCCAATCCTCATTTGAGTCCATGGTCCCACGGGCTTCTCTAAATAGGTCAGAAAAACTAGTAAACAAACTCTTAACTGACAAAGT